GCTCGGATAAATTTTTGAGAAAAACTGCGGCATTTTACGCCTGGTTATCTAATGATAATCAATAATTTTACTATATATAAATACAAGAATACTTGAATATCGATATCAATATTTTTTGGTTCGGGATGAGCAAACGCGATAACGATCAGGATAACCGGGAATTATCTGCAAGGGATAAAAAAAGGGGTAAGTGATAACGACAAGCGAATATCGATAAGCGAATTATCGTTCGTAATAACAGCAATAATTATAATTATTTTTTATTTAATTTGCTATTATCAGCTAAAACTAGAGCTGCAAGAACGATTGATACTTTTGGTGATAGCAATGATGACATTAACGGTATTAATTTTACGATTTAACTTTTTATAATTCTTTTCATTATTAATATAATTCGAAAGCTAATTCTTAACGTATTGAATTTCATAAATTTCAAGTCGCTAATTATGTGCCAAGAACCATCAACGTAGTAGACTTTGCAGAGGTAAATTATAAAGTATAGTAAAATTTACAATATATCACGTGTTTATAGCGACTTTGCAAATATGACTAGGCTAGAGCTTTCGAAATTAATGCAATGAATGATGCTTTGGAACGTGCAAGGTTTTATTTTTATAGATAATCATTGTAAACCTTTTTTTTTTTTGTTATTCAACTATATATTCTCGAATTAACAGACAAACAAGGAATACTAATGTGATTCAATATCTCCCTCGTCATCTCCGGCGACGAGCTGCAAGCCATAATGTTAAACGTCTACCGGCTCGTTTAAGAAAGCAAGCAGCTGAAGAGGTATTTAATAATTAACTATTAACTAGCATTCTTAATAATAAATCTTATGACTTCATCAATAATTATTTATTATAGATAGTAAAATCTACCAAGAAACCGAACAGGCGCAAAAAAAGGCGTCCTGGATCATTGGCTGACGAATATAAGCGAAGACAAGGTTTTTCTTTTTCTATAATCACTAAGCATTGTTATCATGGCATAAATAATAATTTTCTTTTATCGATAAGGTACCAAAAGATGGCTAGAAACTCATATCTGGCATGCTAAGAGAATGAAGATGATCGAATTGTGGGGCCATAAATTGGTAACTAATCGTATGCACATTTAATTATTCAACATAAGATTAATATAGCTGTATTCAATATTTAGGCAGAATATCCAAATGAGAAAAGTATTAAATCCTCTTATAGAGCAAGTCAACATCTTTCTATTATTCATGATGCTTCTTATTTTGGATGGATTCAAATATCGGGCGATCAAAATGTTATTATCAAACTATTAAATAGCGTGACTGATCCATCCCTTCCTTCAATTGGAAGTGAAAGGTTCGTTCTATTTATCAATTATTTATTTTAAAAAAGTTACTCTAATGATAAATATATTTACAATAGATATTTAAATGGGAAGCGGCAATGTTCTACTTTTTTATACCATTACCTCATGTATCCAACTCATGTTGTCGCGCCAATAAACCTGATATGGAGACCAGCTTCCGTAATTGACACAAGTGCAGAAAATAATAAAGTCACAAGGCATGTGTTAATATGGGTTCATGGATGTGCTTTTGACGAAGTTTTTGAAACACTAGAGATTGCTATTGAGAAAATGGAATTACAAAGTGGTATTTATAATTTCCGTCGTTTCACAATTAATATTTTTATAGTGGGAATTTCATATTTCTAACAACGTGAATAATTTTTTTATATTAGAAATATCCATTTCAAACCTTCAAGATGAATTTTTGATATTTGAATTAACGGGTCCGAGATCAACTGCGTTATTACAAGAAGTATTAGATATTGCTGACGTTGCTTCTGGTTCCAATACCGAGAGTTCATTGGACATAAATACTAGCGTCAATATTGATACCGAGATTAGGGAGGTAAAGAAAACCTGCATTAATAGTGAAGCACATAAGGTAATTTTTACTATTCGATTTACACTAAACAAGCTAATTATACTGTAATAATATGTGATCAATGAACATGTAAAGAATCAACTTATAAATAGACTTGGGCTACGTTACGAGATTTACGTAGTTCAGCGTCCTTACCACCAGGAGTTGTACTTGGACTAACTGTTTTTGATCCACGATTGCGGTTGGTACATTCTTTTGTAATGTAAATCTACTTTAGTAAGAATATGTTTAAAGATCTATTTTATTTCAATCAGTTTTCCAAAAAAAGTTCCACCACGCACTTCACAAATTTCTCCGTCATCATCAACTGCGTTACAAAGATTACTATTAAGTTGGCCTAATAATGTTGCAAATTGTGATATATGGGATGAGAAATGTAGAAATCATTTGAAAACGAATAAAATTAAGGATGGTGAATTAAATAAACGAAGAAGCGGAGTACATATATATATATATAATTAAATTGTTTATATTATGTGTATAAATTTTTAACGTCATATATTATTTTCAAAGTTACTTGTTCCAGGTCAAAGACTCATTCCAACGCCTATAGATTCTTTGATTCCAATACTATTAATTCAACGAGATGGTCTCATTACCACGTCTAATAAATCGGATAACGACGTTGACTCGAAGAGAGATCTGAAAAATAATGTAGCATCATCAGAATACAATTGTGGATGGAATCTGATTATGCCAAGTGGGTGGGGAATGGATTTTTGGAAAAGTTTTGTGTTTGCTGGTGCTTGGGTTGGTGGTGTGTTTTTCTTTTCTGTTATGTATTGCTATTTTAAACCATTAATAGGTCTCTCATCATTTGAGTTTTATTAACGGTAATACATCTGATTTAATGACCTTAATTTGAAAACTCAGGATTAAGAGAACGGCACTCTAATCATTTTGAATCCGGCATGCAATGTTTTCCTTACGACTTTCCAAGTACGAGATCATATAATCTTTATTCAAAACAACAAAAAGAGAAGCATGAACAAGAATATTTAAAGAAACCGCCAGCTAAAAGAGTAAATTATAAAAAGTTACAAGTGAATAGTCCTTTTGAACCTGGATTTGAGGCATTGATGGGGATAAAGCCAACGAAAGATGGCAGTAATATTACTAGTGGTGATGTAGATAAGGAAAAAGATGATATAAAAGAGACAAAAGAAATTATTGAAGGAGATATTGATAATATGGATGAAGGAAAAATGACCGACGATAAACCGTTGTCGAGAACACAATATAATAAACTAGTTGCTGAACAGAAACTATGGTTACTTCGAGGTGCAAAAAATATTAAACTTCTTCAAAGATATTGTTTATCTACACATCCCGATAGTGTTGAAGGGCTTTGGGCAGAATTACAGACGCAAATTAAGGAATCGTTTGCGAAACGTGGGATTTCCTTATTGCCAGAAGCTAGTGGTTGTTTTAGTTTGGAAAAAGCATTAGTAAATGTTAGAATAAATTTATTGGCTAGAGGGTGTCCAAAATGGAACGCTATTATTTATAAAGTTGGAAACAAAAATACTTATCAAAAATGGGAGAGAAAAATAAGAAAAAGTGATGATTATAAGGAATATTTAGACGACGAAATAAATGATAAGGTATACGCACTTTTATTGATTTGAGGTCTGTGTTTGCCTTGTTTTTAGCTTTGCAATGTATATATACTATTTTATAGGAGGTTCCATGTGCAGATGATATAATCGGATACATAATAACCGGTCAATTTTCTTTTAGTCAAGGACATGGATTTGGAATTGGATGTTGTTCTGTTACCAAATGTTTAGAAATGATCAAGTTTGAACGAAGGTATATTTAATTCTTTGCTCTGTAAATTCATTAATATCTACTAATATATTTGGACTTTCGAATTTGGATTCTAGTGTACAAAGAAAAATCAATAATTTCGTTTTGATTAGGAATATAACAAGTAGGGTTTGTCAACCCGCCACATTGGAATTCCTTTATTAAATTTTTTGTAATATCTAATGGAATTTTTTGCTATTACATTTGTAATTCCTTTGAAAGAATACATATCCAACATTGATTGTTTAAAATTAAAACTACACGTTATGTAATATTTCAATAAGCATATTTTTGTGAATTGGTTAATTTTTCTTTTTATTTCATGTTCGTATACATGTTATTTCGAGAATGATATAATTCAGGTCGTGATTCAAAATTAAATTATAGACGTTATTTCGCGCATATTTATACAGAAATTTTGAATCCCTTAATGCGCAATAACTGAATAGTAACTATTAAATTTAATAATAATTATGTAATTACTGCGTATTAAGTTTTTTGTAAAGATGTGATAATTTCAAAGATAAGAAGCAATATTTCAAAAATAAAAATACCGTTATTTCGAAAATTCCATTTTTTTGAAAATCGCATATTTAACTCAAAATAACGCCCACGTGCGTTCCGAAATAACGCGCTCCACATACATAGTCTCAGATAAGTTTTTAGTATTTAAACTTTTTTCTTCAAAATTAGGATAATTATTCGAATTATCGCGCATGCGCAACGCGCGCCTATACGGTAAATAAAATAAAATAAAATAAATAAACAAAAATTATTAATATTAGTTTCTATTTTAATTACAATCAATTGTCCAAGTAGTGACATCGAAATTGAATCCTGCAAAGTGAGGGCCTATCAAATAATAGGTTTTTTTTTCTTAGCCACTTAGGCAAGGTTTCGTGATTTGATCTTAAATCTGACCATCTGGAAAAATTCAGATCAGAGATTTTTATTCGGATTGGTCAAAGAACTTGCAGTTGTTACTGGGACAACGATAAAAATTTAAACGACAATCATTTGGCCGAATTCGATAATTTTTGATTTCGGCATGTTCGATATGTAAGATTAAATAAGTGCAAATTTGCAAAAATCTGTAATTTTGCAGATTATTTGAAGAATTGCTGTAAAAAATCTGCAAAATTTTTTAGAATTTGAAGTTTTGCACAGAATTGCATGTAATTTCTGCATTTATAGTATCAAATTTGAAGTTTTGCGCAGATTTTCATTTGATTTATTATTTAATTTTTTTGCAAATCTGCGCAGAACTGCAATAAAAAAATTTCCTGATGAATGTTGATAGGATAACCTCATAAATGTTATTTTTTTTATTTATATTATTAATATGTTATTATAAATAACGGATCTCATAGACAGTCTTACGCAAGTATGTATTTAGTAATAAACAAATTTATTAGTCATAAAAAAGGGCAAAAAAATAATATCCAGAGTTATTTATTAGCGATTAGTAATCGTTGGTAGTATTTAAGGGGAACGGTTTTTTCCAGAGAAGGATTTCTGTTTTTTTTTCTGCTAACTCGACTTTGTCTGGTTTTTTCGCCCCGCCCTACCCAACCCTCGTACACGATCGGACAGTTACGTGAGGGTTTTATTTGGTGACCCGTCGTGTCAACGTTTATTTATTTGTTTAGCTGTTTTTGGATAGTTATGGCCTGTCGGATGACAATCATAATTTTTGATTTTGTAATAGAAGTGGCCTATTGGGACGACAGTCACAAAGGAGTTTTCTTGTTATTTGTGGATATACAGTAGGAGTGGCCTGTCGGGACGACAGTAATGAAGAGATTTCTTATATTTACGTACATAGAAGTGGCCTGTCGGGACGACAGTCACGAAAGAATTTGTGGTGTTTTGGTTTGCATAACGCTTGTTTAAGTCTTGACTTGCATAGTAATCAAAGGGGAACTTAGGGTTTTTTCCAGATAGAATTATCTGGTTTTTTCATCTCACCCCTTGTGATATATAATAACTTTGGGGGACCATCAGGGCTTCTGTTTTTTCTGCTAACCCGACTTTTTCGCCCGCGCTACTCGAAGACGTAAGAGTTTTTATTTGAGGACACGTCGGGTCGCCGTTTTTGTTTTTGGCCGATTTTTGATAGTTTATGGCCTGTCGGACGACAGTCGTGTATTTTGTTTTGGAAGTGGCCTGTCGGGACAACAGTTATAATGGAGTTTTTTTGTTAGTTGGGTGACCTGTTGGAGTGACAGTTATAGAGAAGTTTTCTGCGACCTGTCGAGACGACAGTCACGAAGAAATTTCTTATGTGTTTCTACATAGAAGTGGCCTGTCAGGACGACAATAACAAAAGATTTTTGTATACAGGTTTTTCATAGCACCCGTTTTTAGTATTAGAGCAATCGTAAGGGAACTTAGGGTTTGGTTTTTTCACCCGCCCCTTGCGACGTACAATAGCTTTAGAAAATCATTAGTTCTAGGACAGATACTTTTGATACAACCCGACTTTGTCTGGTTTTTTCGTCCCGCACCTACCCAACCCTATATTCTGGAAGTTATCGTTAGGTATTCCGTGATCTATCTGTTGACAGTGTCTTTTGAGTTTAGTAATAGAAAGTGGCCTGTCGGGACGACAGTCACATTTTGAGTTTTCGAGTTTTTGAAGTAAAAGCGACCTGCCGGAACGACTGTCGCTTTTTGAGTCTGTTGTGATAGAAGAGACCTGCCAGAACGACAGTCACAGCCTGAGTTTCATGGTAGAAAGTGGCCTGTTGGTACAATAGTCATGAGAAATCTCTTCATTGTATAAATAGCATTAAATTAACTTGGGTTCGCATTGTTACTGGGTGAATTGTATCCTTTAATATGATAAATACAAAAATATAACAATTTAGATGATAAAGCAACTCGCCAGAGGCGTGATGATGGTGATTTAGCAATAGTTTAGTTTTTAAAATGATATTATCAAGGTGATTTATTCAATGTTATATGTTAGGAATATCATAATCCCATAGGATAAGATTATTCTTTGCAAGAGGGAAAATACAGAGTTTATATAACCTTCACTATACTAATAAATTCTAAAGGCTTAGAGTAAATCAGATCTTTTATCACGAAAGATCAAGGAAGAATCACTATAACTAAAGGGGCTTACAACAATAAGTACAACATTGATTATAATAATGAAGGCTTTGCCTTTACAATATTTTCTATTTTAACTATTTTTAATTATTTCATAATTCTTGTTTTCTTCTCTTTAGATTTTCATTTGTTCTTCTTGGAATTCTTCTTTGGATTTCATGTAGGTTATCTTTCCGTTATTTAGCCGGTAAGCCTCATGTACTAGTCGATCTGGAATTCCAATGGTCGATTTGCTTAAAATCATAAGTTTGCTACACCAATTTGTTGATCTACCTTTTAGCCTGTGACATTTGCCCAGACCTATTTTATGCATACCATGCATAAATATCTAAACTAAAAATATAGTATCCCTTAATATGTAGACCAACGCAGACAAATTTGCCTGTGTTTTTGCACTTTTTTAGCTCTGATTTACTTTTTTA